TTCTCAATCCACCTCACTGTCCACTCATCCAACTCACACCTCCTGAGCTTGCCTAGGATGATGTGATGGGAGACAGTGTCCAAAGCCTTGCTCAAGTCCAGGGAGACAACATCCACTGCTCTCCCCTCATCAACCCTCCCAGTCATTCCATCATAGAAGGCTATCAGATTGGTAAAGCATGACTGAATACATGGTGACTACTACTGATCACCTTCTTGTGGTCCTCCATGTGGTCCTCCACACACTTAGAGATGACACCCATGATAAGCTGTTCCATCACCTTTCCAGGGATGGAAGAGAGGCTGACAGGCCTCTAGTTTCCGGGGTCCTCCTTCTTGACCTTTTTGAAGACTGGAGGGAACGTTTCCTTTCTTCCAGTCCTCAGGTACCTCTCCTGATTGCCATGACCTTTCGAAGACGATCGAGACGCGTAACAATGACGTCTGCCAGCTCCCTCAGCACTCGTGGGTGCTTCACATCAGGGCCCATGGTCTTGTGGGTGTTAAGTTTGCCCAAATGATCTCTAAGCTGAACCTTCTATGCTTTCTCCCTGGTCTCCTGGGTCAGGGATTCCTGAGGGCTGGCCTTAGCAGTGAAGACTGAAGCAAAGAAAGCAGTCAGTATCTCTGCCTTCTCTCTGTCCTCTGTGATCAGGGTCCCTGCCCTATTCAGTAGCGGGCCCACATTTTCCCTTGTTTTCCTTTTTTTAATGATGTATTTGAAGAAGCCCTTCTTGTTGTCCTTTACATGCCTAGCTAGATTTATTTCCAAATGGGCCTCAGCCTTTCTTGTCGCATTTCTGCATACTTTGATGATGTCTGTATATTCATCCCAAGTGGCCTGTCCCTGCTTCCACCTCCTGTACACCTCCTCCTTATGTCTGAGTTTCATCAGGAAGTCCTTGTTCATCCGTGCAGGTCTCCTGCCCGCTTTGCTCACCTTTTTGCTCATAGGGATGCACTGTTCTTGAGTGTGGAGGAAGTGGTCCTAGAAAATTAACCAGTTCTCTTGGACCCCTCTTCCTTCTACGGCGCGATCCCATGGGGTTCAAATTTCAGAATGTCTGATCTGTATAACCTTTATTATCACAGAAAAAAAAAATTCTAGGTAGCAAAGAAGTCTTGTGCTAGAATGTGGTGATAAGACTAGCATGGGAGGTTTCAAAAACTGTAGAAGTTCAATTACAGCCGTGCAAGAAGGAAACCCAAGAGAATATGTCTATGTCTAAAACCAGAAATAATCCTTTTTACTGTCCTGGAATGAAAAGTCCCATCCACAGCAGCTGGATTTTCCTAGGAATTGCACTAGGAAGTACAACCCATAGTTTATGAACACTTACAGTTTTTAACACTAGAGCAAAGTTTTCTTTGCATTAGAAAAGAGTTAAAAACATATAATATACTTTTTTCCATACCAGTATTGAAGAAGTCATATATAAATCCTCTACACAAAACAGAGGAAAATTATATGTTTATATTTCAGTAATTCATATGTAGTTCTGTAAGAAGTTTTATTTTTTAAGCCTAAGCGTTTCCATTTTAGCTCTTGTTTGGCTCAATACTAATAAGACAGAGAATTAATTTTCTCATGTGCATATAGTTAAAAACATATAATGCAATAAAGGAAATGCAAATAAAAATAAAACTGTCAAGTCATTTGAATGCGTCTAGAGAGGTGCTATTAAATACCTCTGACTCAAAAAGAGAAAATAAAATGCTGTTTGGAAAATCAAATCATTGCTTTCACTGGTGAATTAAATTAAACTGCACTTTTCAGGAAATCCAGTAATTTAATATATTCATTTATCAAAGAAGGATTATTTATCAGGAATTTTTTTTACGACTAATCTGAGAACAAGTAGAAGATGAGAAAAATAAATAGTAGAAAAGATGAGTAGACAAAAGGGACTTATGGGAGAACTTGAGACAACGGAAGCATGAGGAAATACAGGAGATGAGAGACAAAAAAAGAACTTTTATAATTTATTATTATTATTATGCATTAGTCTATACAATACATTGTCTACACACATACATTAAAATGTTACAAGCATTTTTAATGCTAAATGCGAGCTCCAGAAGGAACAACAGCCTGCTAGTTTAGTTAAACGTTAGTTTAACTAAATAGTTTTATTTCCATTTCTCCTTTCTGCCTGAGGTGAATGCTGAAGAACAGAGCATCATAACTGAGCACTATTCGTTGTGCTCCCATCATGGAGGTCTGTGGGGGTGGCACATCACGTCCAAGTCCCACACAAACTGGTATTTAGGAACCAAAATGCCTTAAGTGCTGGACAGCAATTCACTCTGCCTTTTTTCCTGTACTGTCTGACACTGTAGGTGAAAAAGCTCATTAGGCATCTCTCAGTGTAGGTCGAACATTTCCTAGGTATACTTCAGCTGCCCATGCACACTCAGAAATGTTTATTCTTGGTGACAGGTGACTATCTCCATCTACTGCTCTGTTGAAATCCAGGTTTAGGCAACCACACTTGGCCCAAGTTCTGCTGTGAAATTTGAAAGTTTAAATATCTTTGAAACAGCTACATCAATCTGGTGCTGCTCTCATCCTGAATCTGCTGCAGGATAATCTTGGCTTTTGAGTATTCATGCAGAAAGCAGAAGACTCTGGATTCTAGTTTCTATTCAGCTTAAAAAGACTGAATCCTCATCTCCCAAGTTCTGGAGTGTAACCTAATCATCAGACACAAACATCTCTATCTAATGGCTGTATTAATAATTTAGACCAGTATTTTGGACAAATTGCCTCATCTCCCCAAATTACGCACCTAAAATTTTAGTGGGGTAGTGTCCAAATTAGTTATTTACAATTGGCAGAGTAGATGCCACACAAGATGATTACAGGTGAGGATCCTAGCCTCTGCTAAGAGGCTTTGCAGAAATGGAATTCTTATTTCTGAGAGATCAGTAGTAATAACAGTCTAAATATTTCAGCTTGCCAGGAAGAAAAATCGTTGACTTTTGGGCAACGATGCTCTCTAGAAAGGATTCTCTATCTTGTTCATTAACGTGATACCTCCAAGCTGGCAATAGTCAAAAGCAACACAGAGACAAAGCAGAGAAAATGCTGAAAGCCAGGCTAGCTTCTACTGCCTTACTACTTCTGAGAAGCTGCTAGAAGAGGAGCCTTTCATTCCCATTTGCCTGGCTATTCCTCCAGCTCTCAATCTGTAAGCATGTTAGGCATTTGCTCCTGACTCAGCTAAGCACTTTGTCACCCTACCTTTAGTCATGCTAAATAGTCCCATGCAACTCCAAGGTGACAGCACAGGATGACACGTAAGGGGCACTAGACACACCTTATTTACATTTCCAGTGCACTAGCAATGAGAGAACGATTTAAAACACTAAAGTTAGCCTGCAGAAATCACACTCCAGGCAAGAACACTAGCGGAGATTGACTAGCTAGGATAGTCACCTGTAATCACCTTTGCTCAAACCAGGTGTAATCTCTGCAGTTGTCCAACGGTTTGTAAAGTTGCATGAGCACCATGTGTGTGGAGTGTGTTACAAGCAGAGCTAGAGGATGGCCATGCTGCCAGATTCCTGAGGCTTAAGTAAAACTTTTCAAGCCTTGCAGTCAAACTCTTACTCTCTTCACTCACCTACAGCAGGGAAGTTTTAAAACAAATGCTCTTTGACTCTCCATAAAGTGACTAAGTTGATGTCTTTGGTGGCGTGAAATCTTACATTATTAGTTAGGAAATGCATTAATTTGAATCAGAGAGACATCATTGTATGGATGACAGCAAATTTTTAGGTGAATCTTTGATGTGCTGATGAAATTAATGACCGTTTTCAAAGAAATATCTATGCAACTTAACTGATTTTAGTGGGACAAGCATATACTTTTGAGCCTTCATATTAAACATCCATAACAGTTCTAGCACGCCATCTCCCCTTAAAAAAGGTGACTTTATGTTAACCTTTTAATCCATTTTAATCTAACAATATTGAACTATCATACTATATTTTCTTTTTTTCCCTCTCTCTCCAATATGTACCAAAATTTTCACTTTGATCTCAAACAAAGTATGTCTAACGCTGAAATCTACTATTGCACTGCTAAAAGGGGGCTTTAAATACACCTTAAACAGGGGAATGTTCTTGCAGGATATAATAATATTTTAGCCTACGACATGCTTCCAGGTTGGTGAACTGGATTTTATATCAATAGAAAATGATCAACATGGTTTCATTTCTATTTGAATATCTAGTAAGTATAAATCTACTCACTCCCCTTCCAAGCTAAATGCTTTAATATTAAAGTAAATGACTGTACCTTTCATGCATATAGTTGACTCCGAGTAACAACTGTATAAACCATTCTGTTATTTGTCGTTGAGTGAATATTTTCCCAGACTCTTTGTACTCTTGTATTTTAAAGTCTAGATCTCCACCCTGAAAAATACCAAAACAGATTTGTACATTTAAAGCAAGTTTTTAAAATGTCTTCTCCTTCACTAAAATATAGGACACCATTTTCCTAGACTTTCAGGCTTCATATCACATATTCTGTAAAATTAATACATGCGCATGAATTCTGAACTCTCACAAGCACCAAAAGCAGATAGAGCTGAAGATCAAAATGAGATCAAGCAGTCTGGCTACACAGAATTAGTTAGGTTTTCTCTTAGAGGTACACAAAATCACTGAAGTTTTCAGCTGTTCTCCCTTCATGTCACCCAACTTAGACATCTATATCTGAGCTAGTCACCTGAAATGCCCTTTATAGTTAATGCAAAGGAACAGGCACTTGTGAAGTGTGATTTATCTCTTTCATTTAGGTGTCTATTTTAGGAAGAGACGGATCATTTTGTAGAAATATTGTTTCTTAACAAAGGCTAACGATGAGGGCGTACATTGACTAGTTCCTCTGTAGGCATTTAAGTTAAGTAAAATAGATCTCCCCCTTGGTCTGAAAAATAGTTTGTAAATCTGGGAAACCATTTCCACTTACTTAAGTCAAATGATGCACAGTCAAGATAAACTATCATTAATTATCTAGAAATATGCATATCAGAATCAAAGATTATTACTTTTCTAAAAAATAGAGATGGTTGTCATCTTGCTGTTCATTTAGTTCACAAAATAAATGGATTTTGTCTGCAAGAAAACACCTTAGTGGAAAGCACTGAGTTGAGGCAACTAACCCCAGAGCAAAGGGACTGTGATTCCTATTATACTCTAAGTGATTAATGACCTTACATCAGGACAGCTTAGTCTCCATAAATCATTACTTTTACACTATACATTCTGCATAAAATTAGAAATTTTGTGTGCCATATACAAGAAAATTGTTTAACCTCTAGCACTGCGATAAGAGTACAGAAAACAGATCACTAGTTATATGAATTCTATTTGAATATGTCATTTCCCTTCATCAACCCCTCCTTTATCTGCACTGTTGACTCTTAGCGTTTTACAGATTCTTCACCATTCCTTGTTCTGTTCCCAAACTCACAGCGCTCTAAACTGCAACCACCCTTTTTACAAACTAAGCAGGTTCTGTCCTTGCAGTTCCATGCATTTCTGCCCCATACTTGGACATGGATTTGGTCTACAGTAATTTTTTTGGCCCCTGAGGTTCTAAGTTGCAATATTCAAGAGTGATTTTGTTAAAAAATAAAATACATTTTATCAAATATAAAAAAATGCATTCCCTGACCATGTCCTGCAAGCTTCAAATTGAAATGTCTGAATCAGCTCATTCACTAGGGAGGGGAATATGGCTTCAATCCTCCATCTGCCTCCCTCCTGCAGTCCACAGAGAAGCTCTTCTGGGAACTTGGAGCACTGAACAGCTGCCTCCCCTTTGCAACTCCAACTGTTCAACAGCTTCCCCATGGTGGCCTGCAATATAGCAGAGGAAGGAAAAGAAAATGTCTTGCTGGGTACCCCACTGCACGGCAACCAGATGGGCTATGCCTGAGCCTAGCCACACACCTTGACAAGAATGACTCACTTACTCCAGACTGCTGCGCAGGATCATCAGTAGCCAACAGCAGCAACACCCCAAGACTCAGGGCCTGCTCCAACACGTGCCAGCTGGCTGGCATCCCCAAGCGACTATGTACTATCCAGCTAAGGATAGCTGAAGTACAGCAGGCTCCAATCACTATTTCTCCTGTTCCAATGCATCCTCTCTCACAATCATACATTGCCACAAAAAATGCAGAGCAGCTACAGAGTTGGGCCTGGTGGGTACTCTGTTAGGTCGGGGGAGATTTCCCTTGCAAGGTCTAAGAAGAACAAAAGCAGCAGAATAAACTACTGTATGTGCCCTGAAGTAACTATATGGCTTTTTACCTTCAAGCAGAGAAGATTGCTCTCAATGTCCTCCAATTAATTTAATCTTCATTTTGTGTTTAAAAAAATGCATCATAAAAGATTACTGTAATACCACTGCCACGAAACTCCAAAGAATCTTAGTAACCCAAGTCTGCATTTTGGAAGGTCAGGATAATGAAGTTCATATGTAAGTGAACAAATGAAGCACAAAGGAAGTTTCCAACCTGCAGTGTCCATTTAAATGTCAAGAGCATCAAATACACCAGTAACTTATTTAAAATAGGATTCAAATGCTTAGGTTTTATTACTGAAAATGTGAGTAGGCATTCATTGCTATTCCTTTTCTTCAGATTGTCTTAGCATATGTATACTCACATCACAGCTGAGACTACACTGAAGAGATAGAAATAATTTGGAAGAAAATGCAAACAGTTCTATTTTACGATGTATTAAAACGATATAACATTTAGAGGAACTATTTTGTTTTAATTTTTTTAAACTGCATTTCGTGTTGCAACACGAAATTCAAGGTTCATGAAGGCATTTTAGCTTGAAAACTGACTTAGGTGACAATGCTTATATTGCCTGCAAGTTTTTGAATCAGGACAACTGTCAAAGCAGCTCAATGAGATCAAAACAGAATGCATGTACTTCCTTTCTAGAATTTGGAGAGAATTTGGTTATAGATGCCAAGCTGAACAATGGAGATACATGTTCTCCTTTGTTCACAGGACAGGTGCAGCACTGGGCAGCTGCACCGAGCAGACTTGCTCTCTCTACACTGCTTATGTAAGAGTGAATGAAAAAGCCACGGTTCTTTGGAGAAAACAGAATGAGGGTAAGAGGGTAGTTCTGTTTCCATGCCAACTTAATGTTTATTCTTTATTTTGAGTCTGCCCACAAGAGTACCAATTACTGCAAAGTGTGGTAATTGTTCTGTGCATGAGAAACTGGATATACTAGATTTCCAAAAAGCATGGGGTAGCAACACATTTTTCTCATTCTCAGTTTATGCAAGATTTAAATAGATATCTTTTTAGGAAAAAAAAAAAGAGATCTGAATCCCACCACTTAAAAAGATGTGCTATAGATAAGCAAATACAAAATACCACCTTCTGGAAGTATTCACTCTGAAATAGAAAAGAAGCCTTATAACATTATACAAAACCTTGCTTTCTATTTTCTTTCTCTGAATATTTGACTAAATACATTGTAATTGCTCAAATGCAATGATGCTACATATATTCTGTCCTTTTGGAAAGGGTCAGAAGCGGGTCCTAGGACTCAGAAGTGTGTTTGAGTGTATAGCACCCGGTTGCTGGACAAACTGTACATTGGGATGTTTTCACAGAATTACAGAATCGTTTAGGTTGGAAGGTACCTCTGGAGATCATCTAGTCCAACCTCCCTGCTCAAGCAGGGTCACCTACAGCACGTTGC